TTTTTTTTTTTTTTTTTTTGGTCTTTCTGACACAGGGTCTTGCTGTGCAGTTCATGCTGGGTTTGAGCTCACTGTGTAGCGCAGGCTGGTCTCAAACTTGCAACAATCCTCCTGTCTCAGTCTCCCGAGTGCTGTGGTGTGTGCCACCACACCCAGCCACACCTGACCTCGTGCAGTGGGTTACAGATGAAGTGCATGCTCACTAAAAATATATAAAATTACCTTCAAAGGCTGGGGGTGTCTCAGAGATAGAGTGCTTGCCTATCATGTCCTAGGTCCTTGATTCAATCCCCAGTACCAAAAACAAAGGAAAAAAAAATAACCTCTAGGATATTTGTATAAGCTATGTGTAAAATATAAATGAATTTTTTAGACTTGAGAGCTTAAGTAATGTTAGACTTGGCTCCCTTCCTCAGAACAGCTCACTGTAATATACGTAATATTCCAAAATTCAAAAACAATTCTAAGCATTTCGGTTAAGGGACTGGCAACCTATAACTTCCAGAAAGTGCACTGGCAGTTTGAATGAAGTCCATTAAAATGTTTAGTCTCTTCAGCTGTTAAGAAATGTCTTTGTCCAGGCGTGGTGGCACATACCTGTAATCCCACTTGGGAGGCTGAGGCAGAAGAATTGTTGCGAGTTTGAGACCAGCCTGGGTTACAAAGTGAGCTCAACGCTAGCCTGAGCTGCATAGTGAGACCCTGTCTCAAAAAAAAAATAGAAAAGAAAGGAAATGTCTTTGTAGCTGTTCATGGTGAACACATACTTGTAATGCCAGCATCCTGGGAGGCTGAGGCAGGAGGTTCACATGTTTGAGCCCATCCTGGGTAACTTAGCAATTTATTGAGACCTTGTCTCAAAAAAGCAAACAACAAAATCAGGACTGAGGATGTAGTTCAGTGCAGAGACCCCAAGTCTTCTCCCACCATTTTTTTTTTTTCCCCAGTACTGGGAATCGAACTCACGACCTCGAGCTTGCCAGGCAGGCGCTGTGCCACTGAGCTAAGTCCCCAGCCCCTACCCCCAGTTTTTTTAAAAAAATCTTTGTAAAGGAAAATCTAAACTATGTGGAGTTACGTAAGTGCCATTTGTAATAAAAACTAAAAAATATATGCAGCTGTTTCTTTTTGAATGGTAAAATTGTAAATGCAAGGCATGTTAGTGGAATCAAAAGAAACTCAGACATGTCCCTTGACACATAGCTTGTAATCTAGTTAGAAAATGCTGCTGATTACATAAAAATAATCAGTGAGCAATGCAACATAGCGTTAAATGAGTTAGAGGCTGAAGCAGGGCTTAAACCAAGGCTAAGTTGAGTTGGAGGGATGGAGCTTTCTAGATGGAACAAACCTCAGTAGAGATAAAACAGGACCTGTGTGTGTAAAAGTCACTAATATATATATGTATATAATAAAACCATTTTATCAGAGGCTCTAAAATAATGGAGGAGGAATGGCATAAGTTTGACAGCTGAAAGACCTAGCTGTGAGTCTCTGCATCTTATAAAAAGGCTTTGTTATAACTTAGGACACCATAGATGCTCAGTAAATAGCAGCTCTGGTCATTTTTTACTAGTGCTAATACAACTAACAGGAATTTGGGCTTCGTACAGTAATCTGACAAGGAAACCTTAAAGTGCTCACATACACATTATATTCACAGTCATTTTTCCCAGTGGTTTATGTAGGATTACACAAAGGAGAGGCAAAGGAAACTTTTACCTTAAACATGGGCCACAGGCTGCTGAGCCTCTTGGGAGCAGAAACTGTCCCATTTGCACTGGGTTTTTTGTTGTGTTGTTGTACTAGGGGCCAGATCCAGGGTCTTGTTCTTGCTAAGTCTACCATTGAACTACATCGCCCACATTTTTTGAGACAGGCTCTCACTAAGTTGCCCAGGCCAGCCTCAAATTTAAGATCCACCTGCCTCAGCCTCCTAAATAGCTGGGGTTACAAATACACACACGCACAAATTGCTGCCCTTAATCTCTCATAATTAGCATATTGTGGGAGGAGTGGGGCTATGTAGAGAGCTGGATGTAGGGTTTATAATTAACCCGATGAAAGGTAAAGAAGGTTAGGTTAGTCTGAGGTATAACTCTGTTAATTGGTAATGTTTCCTTAAATGAAGGAAAATGTGAGCGAGTGAAACAATGGAAAATGCTGGTTTGAATGAGATTTTAATGCCTTGAATGTATGGAATGAGAGAATAGTAAATAGCTGTTACTAGTGCCTTGTTTATGACAGGTGTATTGCCTGTTATCTCACATTAAAGTCATGCTGCTGATGAAGTAGAGTTAATAGATGTTAGAACGGGTGTATGAACGATAGGCTTCTAAAATGAGCTCCAGTGTCACTGCCTTCTAGGGAGTCTTCCTCCTAAGTTCTTTGTACATCCACACTCTTGTTCAGTCCAGCGTGAGTCCTCTGTTTTAATAAAACTCATTTGTAATGACTGCAGTTTTGCATTTACTTACAGAACTACCATGGTACCTCAGTTCATGGACTTCATTCTTTGTACAGTTCTGGTCACAAACCGAATTGGATGAGATCTGAATCAAATTCAGTGGTTGACCTTATGAGGAAATTTGACTGTGTTCTCATCCAATTCAGTTTGTGACTAGAATCGTGGAAAGAATTCTGTTCGTGAACCGAGGTACCCCTGTATAATCACCATATTCCTTTGGCATTTGGGCACTTAACATTGTCTGATTCAGCTACTGCTTCAGTAACTGGAGAGAGACAGGTGACGGCCCGTGATGTGGGTAATTACACTGCAGGGCAGGTAACACACAAAAGGACTCACTCCCCTGAGAACAGGCCCCTCTCACGGGTTAGTTACTGGGCCAGAGTTTCAGGTGCTGGATAATTGTCCTCAGAACCATGTGATGGTTCTTCTTATGATTTTCTTACTTGCTGCTCAGTTTATTTAACTTGAAATTCAGTCTAACATAGCTACTAGTGCATGCTTATATGCAGGTGATTCACTCATAGTATTTTTAAACCATAGGTCCTCTGCTGTACCACTTTGAAAATTTGGCAAACGAACTATCCATAGAATTGAGCTATGAGGATATAAAAAATGTTGTTCTGCAGTATGGATTCCAGGTAGAGGT